GAGGTAATAGCAAGTAATCCAGGTGGGTTTCAACTTTACCCTCTAGTGCAAAATTTCAAAAGTATGTGAGTGAATGTGATTTTTAAAGATTAACTCAGCACCAAGACCAGACAGGAAGAGTGACTTGTCCCAAGTACTGTGGCAAGTTAGGAGCAGAGCTGTGATTAAAACCCGGCTTTCTAGGCCTGCATTCACTACTGCCTTCTGGCACTGCTCGTTAGGACTGAAAGGAGGACGTGGCCCCAAGACAGTCCTCTCATCTCTGCGGGCTGCCTCCGAGCTCACGCTGGGGCTCTGGCCAGCCTGCCCTCTGTCTTTGCTGAGTCCCAGCTGCCAGGGCACGTAGTTATAACTCTTCCTTGATCCCTGCTCTGCACACTCGCTAGTCCAGCACGGCTGTCTAGCTCAGAAGTGTCTTTTGAATTCATTTGTTCAAGACTCACTGGCCTTCGAGGGCCAAAGTCCAGATGTTCTTTTTAAATTACTGTCTCCCTCAGAAAGCGTAGGAAAGGTTCTCTTCTTTCTTGTGAAAGAATGGGCTGGGCTGCTTTCTCTATGGCTTTTGCGAATGTGGTAGACGGAAATGCTTGACAGCATGTCTTTTCATAAACCCATGTAAATGTTCAGCCTCTTCAACGTTTAGTCAATGTCTGTTAGGCAGAAAGTTGGTTGGGTCTGTGGACATGTGGAGGGAGACATGGACCTCACTAAGTAGTTTACAGTTTAATGAACTTCTTGACAACTAACAATTAAAAAAAATGGAAAGAGTGTAATAACATCAAGTGTTGTTGCAAATATATAACAACATGAGTTTCTATGAACTTCTAGGGGGAGTGAGAAGTGTTAGGAAAACTTAGGAGAACAGTTTAGCGTTGCTCGGTAAGGTCGAAGGAACAAATGACTTATGATCCTGTGCAGGCTCGTGATCAGTCTTCGTAATATAACCTTAAACCCTTGTTGATTAATAGAGAGTTGTAGGTTAAATGAAAAATTTATCACGTATACCAAAAATACACCCAATTTAAAACTCCTGAAGTAGGCATCATAACCCTCTGGAAGTGAATCCTCTAAGACTATGAAATTCTTTCTGAGTCTTGCTGGCATAGTAGCATTTTTCTCCTGCGTCCGCTCGTTCTGTTAGAGCACAGCTCCGCGGAGTTAGGACGGCCCGAGCTGCTTTAAGCACCCAGGAGTTTGCTAGAGCTCAGGAGCGTGGTGGGTCACGTGAGAAAAATTTCTGGACACATTTGCTCAGTGACCCAGGTTCTCAGGCTGAGATTGTAGAATGGCTGGTATAGCCCTGAGGTGTAACTCTAGATGATTTTATTCCTCCTGGGGCTCAGGCATAGTTCTTCCTCACCTACGCCCTCTGTGTTAGAGGAGTCCCAGGAAGCAGTTTAGGGAGTCCCTCATGGCCCCTTCCCCCCTGACTCCACACACCCTTGTGGGGAGACACGGCGGCTACTGAGCCTCAGCAGTGGGGTGTGGCACCTTGCTTTTCATCCAGGCCATTAGTTAAAGGGTCAGATGGCAAGTGCAGCAGGCTGTAAACAAATGTTTGATGAAAATATTGAAAAGGGCTTTATACTGAAGCTCTCCTGTTTTGCAGAAAACTATAGTTTTGATATGACAAGCAGAAATTCTACATTAAACAAGCAATTTAGCTAATTTTTTGAGGAATGTTTCACACTTACAACTAAAGTCTCTTTCTTTTATTGTAGTGATTTTTTAAATGAGTATGAAAAAGGAAGGACTCCTAATCCTGACATAGTCTGCAATAAGCACATCAAATTCAGTTGCTTTTTTCATTACGCTGTGGATAATCTTGGTAAGTAATTTGGGTTTTTTTCATTTGTTTTTAAAAATCACGGATTTTCAGATTTTCAGAGATAGCCAGAAACCAAAACCTTGTGTATAGTTTCATCTTTCAGAAGGAAAGGAAGAAGTGAAAATGACAGTACTTTGTATTTCACTGAATAAGAAGGAACCTTCTGGTGAAGTACAAGTGCTAGGTCCTTGGGAGGACAGGGTGCTTTCATGGTGGACCACGTAAATGTGAGGACAGGCAGAGTCTACCCAAGGACACCCAGCCTCAGAAGTCCTGAGGAAAGATGTATTGCCTCACAAGCCAAAGAGTTCAAAGGTGACAATGCCCAGGAGGAAGACGAGGAGATTCTTAAAAAACAATATTCTAATATTAAATTGTTAATGACTTTAATGAGGTGTCATCTGTGAAAAACAAAAGTAGATGAGCCTGTAAGTGTACCAGGAAGGTCAGAACTTTAGAAAAATGCCAAAGATAACAAAGCTTTTAAAGGCCTGCTCAGAGCCAAAGAGCCCGAGATGGAACAGGCTGACTGCTAGGAGAGCCCTGGGCCGCGCAAGCTCCCCGGCCTGCGGTTTCTGTGTGGCCTTGCACCGCTCCAGCAAGAACACTCCTCAAACTGGGAGCCAAAGCAATGCAGAGGGATTGCCGCAGCCCACAGGAGGCAGCTAGATCTTGGGCTACAAGACAGTGCCTGGCCTCTTCAATAAATGTGTCTCTAGGTTCGGCTGAGCTGAGACCTGGGTGGCCTGTGGAACTTACAAGCCCCGAGTGTAATCTGCATCAGATCCTGCCTGGTTCCCTGTCGCAGGCTCACCCCGCGTCTCTACCTGGGGCCACCACCTGCAGGGTCAGCTTTCTTTGCAGCAGCTCTGGTTCCAGACAAGGTTGTATTTAGGGGAAGTTTCAGGAGCCCTCATTCGAGGCTCAAGAAACTCAGTGTTTAGTCATCCTTTTTGCTAGTCATGGTAAGACCTTTTCTCTTGCTTCCAAAATTGGGTTTCTGCTTTGTCTGGAGAACAAGCCTGTGGTCACATGATTCTAGCTCTTGGGTCTCTTATCTTGTTTTTCTGAGTTTGAAGCTATGTCTCGGTGGCCAGTTCTAGAAGCCTACCTTATGGTTAGGGCTCTGCCACCAGCTGGCAACTTGCCTGCCCACCAGATTTGCAGATTCTATCTGTTCCTAAGTTTTTCTTTCTTGATTCCCTCTGCGTATTGAGATGTCCTCATTTCTTTTTTTTTAATTTAATTTTTATTTTTTTTAAAGATGGGGTCTCACTGTGTTGCCAGGGCTAGAGTGCAGTGGCAATTCATAGGCACGATGCTAATGCACTATAGCAGCAGTCCCCAACCTCTTTGGTACCAGGGACCAGTTTCGTGGAAGACAGTTTTTCCACGGGGAGCTCAGGTCCTGATGTGAGTGATGGGAAACAGCTGTGAATACAGATGAAGCTTCACTCACTCGCCCACCACTCACCTCCTGCTGTGCAGCCTGGTTTCTAACAGGCCATGGACCAGTACTGGTCCGAGGGCCAGGGGTTGGGGACCACAGCACTACAGCCTTGAATTTCTGGGCTCAAGTGATCCTCCCACCTCAGCCTCCTGAGTAGTTGGGACTACAGGCACAGGCCACCGCCCCTGGCCCGATATCTTTTTATCGAACCTTCCTAATGTTGAATTGCTTGCTTAGTAATCTGTTATGGAATTAGAGTTAAAAAAAAAAAATAGAATTGCTTGCTTAGACTACCTCTTGGTATCTGTTGCTGTATTTTGTGAATTCTGGGTTCCTTTTCCTGTCCCCTGCCAGTGGGGTCAGCATAATGAGTCTCTAAAGTTCTGGGTGCTGGCCTGTCAGTTTGCTCTGCCCCACCGCACCTCATCTGCTGTGTATGGCCACGTCCCAAGACATAAGTTGTTAGATGCCAGGGATCCAGTGGTGTCAGCAGTGTCCGCGATGACTAGATTAGGCCTGCTGATCTGATGTGCAAGTGACCTGATGCTGAGATAATGAAGATGAAAAGCTGGTTCATGGAGTTAGGAGTAAAAAAAAGTCTAAAAACAAAAACCAAAAAAGTCTTAAATTTGAATGCTGTACTAACACCAAAAACATGAAATGTAATAGCGACAACTGCCAGGTTTGCTAACTAGGTTTAATAATTAATTCTCCTAATATAAGATTGAGAAGACCTGGCTGGCTTGGTTGCCATTTGTCTGCAGATCTGAGGGACTTAGTTGTCCCCAAGCTGATGAGCCAGTTCTCTGACGTCTGTTGCCAAAGCCAGCAGGAGACCGGGCCACCTTGTGGTCAGAGAATGTCTGTTGTGGCCTGCCCTGCTTAGGCCAAGTCTGTTATTCAGGAAAAGAGTTACAGACTGCTGGAATGTGAATTGATTTTGATTTCCAAGGTGTCTGGAAATAATGTCCTCTGATGAACCGTTGAGATTACTTTGGGTCATAGTAGCAGCAGTCACGTATGTGAGTTAGGATCACATTCTTTGTGTGACACCGGAGGGCAGGTTTAGGGTTTGCAGGAGAAAGACCTCCTGCCTCCGGGAGGCACAAACAGCTCTTCAGGAGAGGAATGTTTGCCTGTGAGAGTGCCAAGTTCTCTGTCGCCATAGCTTTTTTTAATTCTGCAACACAGATAAAAATACACAGAACCTAGACTTCTGAAATCTTAGGGCTTCTAATAGACAAATCCTACACTGTTTGTAGTATAAGTGGTTGTTCTTTAAGGAAATAGATTTAAATTGGGTTTTTTTCTCTATTAAAAACTTAGTCAAGACATGACAATGTGTTTCTAAAGGTACTCTTTCAGGTAGTTAATATGCAGCAGTTAATTCTTGCTGTGTTTTTCTGTTTTATGCCGAGCTACTGTGGTTGGTTAAGTATTGAATCAATTTTGCTGCACCTTTAAGGAAAAAGTCTCTTGCAGGACTGTATATCTGAAATTCTCACACGATAAAAAGGTTATGGGCTTGTATGCCTTGGTAGGTTCTTTGACTTTTTTTTAATAATGTGAAAAGAAGTCGAATGTGCTGGGTAGTCCTTTACTGTGATGAAAATAATACCTATTTATTAAAAATTTAAAGTATAGAACAGTGTAAATAAGGGGGAAATGTCATCTAGAATTTCACTCCCAGCATCAAAGGAATGGACCTTCTGAGATTTTTATCTTTTTCTGTACATTAAAAGTAGTAGAATCATAGTCTTATATACTCTTCCTCTACTTAACAATGTCATAGGCATTTTTCCATGTCACTAAACTCTGAAATGAGCTTTTTATACTTAAATATTTGCATGCATATCTGATTATTTCCTTAAGCTATTAATAGAATGAATGAATGAGTAGATGCTAACTTTTGAAAGGCTCTTAAAGGTACAGTAAAACTTTGTAGCAAGATCGTATCAGCTTAAATTAAGAGTTAAAGTCTGCATTTTAGCAAGATTAAATGCGTTCCCCTATTCCCTGGGATCTCGGTGTTGGACGGTAGGGTGGGCTGTCTGTAGAGACCATGAGCGTAAGACTTCAGGTCCGCATGCGCTTTTGGCACCCTTGGCTCGTACTGACCCAGGCTAGCAAATGTGAGTCTAAAATATGATCTTCGTGTTTTTAAAAACCTCACAGGAGCAGATGCCATTGCCACAGGTCACTATGCAAGAACTTCACTGGAAGATGAAGAAGTCTTTGAGCAGAAGCACATTAAGAGACCGGAAGGGCTTTTCAGAAATCGGTTTGAAGTTAGAAATGGTAAGTTAAAGTGCCCACGTCAGAGATTAATTCTTTGTGAACAAGGTAAAATATTCTGGAGAATGACAGTGCGTTGTGTCTGAGCACCTGCCGCCCCTCTCTCTGTGTGCTCCCGCTAGCTTGCTGGTTTGGGGTTCACATCTGAAAAGGCGCAGTAACCCAGAGGGTCATTTCCCCTGAGGGCCTGCACTTGGGCAGTAAGAGATACCCCAGCCGCCTGGTGCCAGCGCAGGGCTAGTGGAAGGTTAAATCGGAAATGTGTAACTCAGTTCTGGACACTGTGTGCTGGTGATCTGCATGTTCCAAGAATATCTGAGGAAATACTTGACGACGACGGTAACTGGATTGCCACGGTTTTGCCAAGGCCTCGTACTTTGGCATCAGGTTCTCTAGGGTGTGACCGACAGGAGCCTGCAGGTCAGGCCTTGCAGTTGTGTTTACAAAGGTGATCTATACAAATTAGTTTACAGATGTAAGAGAGCAAAGTTTCACCTTTCTAGAAAAAAGTAAATGCCAGACAATGAGCTCGGAAGCCGCCGGCTTGTCCTGTGTGTGTGTTTGTGAAAAGAGGAATTCCCGTCATTGCTGAGTGAAAAACCAAGAGGAGCTCAGAGCCCAGTTTCTGCAAGGAATTTCCGTTGTTGTAGGACCACTGAAAGGTTATCACTTCTGATCTGCACAGCAGTGCTCCACGTGTGGTCCTACAGCCTGCCCCACGGTCACCTGGGGGTTACTGAATTCAGATTTTGGAGCCTCGTTCCCACCACACCCCCATCTGGGGAGGGGGTCTCTGAGAGTCGGGCAGGGACTTGCATGCACACAGTTCTCATTGCTCCTCTCAGCAGTCTCATGAGGTGTGTGCTCTAATCCCACTCAAAGATGAGGAAACTGAGGCCTACGTGAAGTCATTTGACGTGGGTACGTCAGGTGGCAGAGCTGGGATTCAGTCCAGTTCTGCCCAGCTCCCCCGCCCTGCTGTTTCTGCCGTGTCAGGCCCCTGCTGAGTTCTTCTCTCAGTGTGGCCGAGCCCATCTCGAAGGCAGCAGCAATCCTGCAGCAGTGCGCCTGGTCAGGGGAGCCCTGAGTGCACCCGCAGCTGCTCAGCCGCTCCGTGTTCTCTCTCCCTCTCCTCCTCCCCTTCTCACAGCAGAGGGTGCTCAGGTAACTTCACTGAAGGCAGCCCAGACAAGAACGGCATCCACTTCTTGCTGGGAAGCCTCCCGCTGCTGCCTGCAGGGCGCTGGGCCCACTCCCTTAGGACACCCCTCAGTTTCAGGAAGACTGGCTCCGGCCGGTCAGCTCCCAAGGCCAGCGCGCACTCCTAGGCCTGGCCTGTGACCGGTTAGATTCACTCCTCTGCCCACAGCAGGATACCCCTGGCCTGGCGGAGCAAGCACAGGCCCAGAGCAGCCAGGGTGCATAAATAAAGGTCCAGGACAAAAGGGCCTTGGTCAGATGTTAGCTCCTTTCCTTCCTTTTCCTCTACGGTAGCTCAGTTAGGGACACCAGCTTTTTTTCCCCAAACTCGTAGACTTTTAGTTTTGTTTTAAAATGACTCAGAACTAAGAGAAAATGCAAATCGCTCCCAGTATTCTGTTAGGCCTTTATACACACATACACTGTTTGACTGCATTTAGTTTTGAAACAAATAGTAGAATTTTGGAAATGAATCTGCTTACATGATAACTAGTTGACTGAACTGTAATTTCATTTTTCAACTGGTTTTATTGTTTGGTACACAGAAAATAATGGCATAGAAATTGGGCTCAGTTTCCAGCTCCGCCATACTCTGCCTGCGTCATTTTGGGCGAGTCACTTTAATTATCTGAGCTCAGTTTCCTTGTCTGTAAAATGGGGATGATTCTACTTCACTCAGGTAACGTGCGAGACAATGGAAAACATTAGTTACATAGAGCGCGCGCACACATGAGACTGTGCCAAGCCATGAAGGGTGAGTGTGCTGAGCTGTGTGGGGTGCTCTGAGCGTAGCTTGTGGGGGCTCTTGTCTCTTATCCCTAGACATGAGAACGGTTAGCAGAAGCCATTAATACTGATGTTCTGCTTAGTTTTCTTCTCTTTGCCATTAAGCTTGAAAGTGAGGAGCCTGACAGTCCTAATTATTGAAGCCCTGTAGCATGGGGACAGGGCTGACCGGTCCCAGAGCTAGAGCTGGGCCTTCTTTTCAGAACCAAGGTCACATGGAGAAGATCACTCACACCTTTGTACTGTTGCCTTAAAGCCAGAAATGGTTCTTTACAATTAGATTGAGAATGTTCGAGAAACTGCAGTGGGGCCTCTGACCAATGTCAGCTTGGCCTCTAAACAAAACCATTTCTACCAAGGAAAAAAGCATTGTTAAGAGTAGAGTGCTGGCCGGGTGCGGTGGCTCACACCTGTAATCCTAGCTCTCTGGGAGGCTGAGGCGGGCAGATTGTTTGAGCTCAGGAGTTCGAAACCAGCCTGAGCAAGAGCGAGAC